TGCGTGACTCAGGAGTCGACCGCGCGCGACGACGTTGCTTGGCGCTGGACGCTGGCTTCCTCGCAGCTGCGGGTGGCGCGGCCAGCGCAGCTGCGCCACGCGAGGCGCCCGAAGTGGTGGCTGTGGGAATCGAGTGACCGGCTATGCCTGCACTGAGAAAAGAGCGCATGAACTTCAGTATAAAAACATAGCGCGACAAGGATAAATTTAAATATATAGATATACGAATGATGTATTTATATGTGAGGCTTTAGCAAGGCCATGCGTTTTGTCGCACGCTCGTGGCTGTCCCGCGCAGTTTGGTGTCACAAACTTACAACCAGTTAGTCCAGCTGGCTAAAACAGTTAATTGGTACAACTGTGTGAACTTGTCCAACTGCTAGCCAGGCATTATAGTAGGGTGCATTGCAACGCCCTTACTCGCCTTGGTTCGAAGGTGGACGCTCGTGACATGCGGAAACCGCCCGCGAGCCAGACGGGCGCGGGGGACGGTCGTGACAAGCAAACCGCCCCCGAGCAAGACTGGCGCGGTGGATGCTCGTGACATGCGGAAACCGCCCGCGAGCGAGACTGGCGCGGTGGACGCTCGTGACATGCGGAAACCGCCCGCGAGCGAGCCTGGCGCGGTGGACGCTCGTGACATGCGGAAACCGCCCGCGATAATGGCTGCTGCCGTTAGCCAATTCGGGGCTGAAGGCCGTGGTGCGAGGCCCAAGGTTTCTCGCTCACGCTGCCCGTTTTTTACTCGATTTTCTGGCGCCTACCAACACGAGCTACTATCCTGGTGTTGCAGAATTTGTGCGTGCTTCGGGTTTTCAAGAAGGTGTACCCGCAAGCTTTATCTCCATCCCTGCTCGGCGGTTCCGTGGCGTGGGGGTGTGCTGCATGATCGGGGGAGGGGTTCAATGGAATTGGAACACGTGCAAGCGGCTTCCGGGTTTTGCCATACGGAAAAATTGGAATTGACAACCAGTAGACGCAATAACTGCAATAATCTCACATCATTGTGCGGGGTTCTTGCTTTTACCACTCGTCGTCCGGCCGCCGCTGTGTCCTCTTCTCGCCCGCTCCGCAGCACTCTCTCACTCTCACTAACAGTTGCTCACATTCACTCACACTCACTCTCACACACACACACCCATGCTCACTCACACTTCCTCACGCTCACTCACGCTCACTCAAGCTTACTCACGCTCACTCAGTCACTCGCTCTCTCTCCCTCACTCGCTCAGTCAGTCACTCACTGACTGACTCACTCACTCACTCACTCACTCACTCACTCACTCACTCACTCACTCACTCACTCACTCACTCACTCACTCACTCACTCTGACACTCACTGACAGTCACTCACACTCCTTCACACTCACGCACACTCACACTCACACGCACTCACACTCACTCACACTCACTCACACTCACTCACACTCACTCACACTCACTCACACTCACTCACTCACTCACCCACCCACCCACCCACTTACTCACGCACTCACGCACTCACGCGCTCACTCACTCGCGCACTCACTCACGCGCTCACTCACTCGCGCACTCACGCACTCGCGCACTCACTCACGCACTCACGCACTCACGCACTCACTCACTCACACTCACTCACTCACCCACCCACCCACGCACGCACTCACGCACCCACTCACCCACGCACTCACGCACTCACGCACTCACGCACTCACGCACTCGCGCACGCACGCACGCACTCACTCACTCACTCGCTCACGCACTCACTCACTCACTCCACTCACTCACTCACTCACTCACTCACTCACTCACTCACTCACTCACTCACTCACTCACTCACTCACTCACTCACTCACTCACTCACTCACTCACTCACTCACTCACACTGTGTGTTTGCGTGGCAGGGACAGCGTTTGGTAGCTGTCTAAAGAGACTCGGTGTTGCCGCGCGCGTCACTCAGAACCCCGTTTTGCGCGACAGGCGCAGCGCTTTGGAGATGGCTTGCAGATTTCGTGGCAGGCGCAATATTTCCTGCATCTGGGTGTGTGTTCGCGTGGTTTGCCAGATGTCTACAGGGGTTCTATGTTGTCGCGCGCGCGGCTGAGGGCCCCATCACTCACTCACTCACTCACTCACACTCACTAACACTGACGCACTGACTCACACTGACTCACTTTTACTGACTCATCTGGGTGTGTGATTGCGCGGCAGGGGCAGCATGTAGCAGTGTTGCTACTAGGTGTAGTTTGACGTGTTAGCTGCTTGCGTGAAAAGTGGAAGTGGCGCAGACGCAGGATCAAGCATTAAGAAAGATTGAAGTTGTGATCCTTGATTCTGGGGTGCGCTGGTGTCGTTGTGCGTTGTGTTTTGTGTATCCGTCGGACGCAGAGATGTGGGTTAGTTCGGACATTGGTTACTACCCGGAGTTGCTCGGCTTGTCAGCTGCTTCTTGTTCAGGTTGTGGAAATTCACGCACAGGGCAAATTTGTCATATAGCGTGCGTTTGCAAGAATTGTACTGTTGCCAAAACATGCCAATCAAATACAGACGGCATTTGCGTTCCTTGGTTCTGGGGACGCGCTTGTTGTTGTCAGCCGCAGCTCGAAGATTGTGAGTTGTGTTTACTGCAGCCGTTTGATGCTGAGATTGGGCCTAGCTCGGACATTGGTTCCTACCAGGTGTTGCTCGGATTGCCAGATGCTTATTGTCCAGATGGAACCAATTCACACACAGGGCTAATCTGCCATATAATATGTCTTTGCAAGAACCGAGAAGGAACTCAGAGCAGCAGCCAGCTTTGGCGGGCTGCTTTCGCCAATGGCTGAGTTAAGGGCGTTGCGAGAATTTGTCTCGGGCTTTGCTGGCGCGTTGGGCGCGGACACTGCCAACGCTCTGGCGCGTGAGCCAAAAGCGATGGAAGCCCTTGCTGAATTAAGTGGCTGCGCGGCTCCCTGGCGGCTGGACTATGGCAGCACACCTCTGTCTTGGCGAGCTACAGCAGTACGGCCACGGCCCTTTGCGTGAAGATGTCTCAGGGCCAGAGGGCCTCTGGCAGCTTTTTCGGGGGAGGGACAATGGGACCATGTCTCGCCCAAGCAAAGCAGCATTCTCTAAGTCAGCAGCAGGGCGCCTGCTAGACAAGCTCTCGAAACGTGTCGGATCCAGACTGAAGAGGCACGTGTGTTTGCGATGAAGAGACAGCGCCTGAGTGTGAAAAAAGATAGCTCTTGACGATGCGCCAGAGGCTTTCCATGTGTTTGTTGCGTGGCCACCAACGAGCAGACGCTTCCAAACATTCCCTGACAACACGCATGTGGGGTTACCCGGTCCTGCATTTAACTATGGAATGCCAGATTCAGGGTCGCAAGTCAGGCCAACTAACTCCAACACTTGTAATAGGTGGGAAAACTCTGTGTCTCTGTCTCTTTCTGTCTCCCTGTCTCCTTCCTGTCCACGCCCCTCTGCAGAAAAAGGGCACCCTCATTCTAACCTCTAGTCAGTTCCCATCTCCCGTCGTGACGATTTGCTGCCTTGTCCTTTGTTTCCCTTTCATTCCCCCTGCACTCCCCTTGTTTTCATTTCTGTCCCTTTCATGCCCCTTTCAGTTCACCTTTGTTTCCCTTTCGTTTCCCGTTGCGTTCCTGTCATGTCGACTTCCTATTTCCACGCCTCATCTCCTTGCACTTCGTTGCATCCCCTGTCCTCCCCAGCATTTCCCGCAAAAAACACGGTTTTCCAGCGTTTTCGCAAAGAGGATGTCCAAAGACATTTTCGGCAAAAGGAGAAAGAGCCGGCAGAGGGGTTCGAGCCTGGGGCCCCTGTTTGGCGACACCGGCTCCCCGAAGACTACGTTTAGTGGAACGTCATCAAATCGCGCGGTCTTGCGCCCGGAGCCCAAACTGCGCGGCCCGTGCTTGGGGGGTTCGGGCAGGAGTTGAAGCGCGGCGGGGGGGTGTAGGGGCCTATTTGCTGCAACTTGCCCAGCCAGAAGCCGCAAAAGCATGAACCGTAGTTTGGAGCCTTGTTGATCGAGGACAACCCGAAAGTTTGTACTCCTCAGCCCAGGTAAGGATTCAGGATTGCGCCTGAGCCCTGCAAAGGGCCAACAAGGTTTGCCCAACTTTTCTTTGACACACGCCCCCCCTCCCCCCTTGTATCATTCTCAATGTGTCGTTCTGGCTGGTTTGTGCTCATTTTGCGGGGCAGGTGAAGTTAAACCGCTGGCTGAAGGAAACTTAACTTGTTGGTGCTGAACAGAGTTGAAATAACTGCAAGATCCGGGGCCGGTTTTTGCATTACTTGCAATTGTCCGCCGACATTGCTCGGTCTGATATGCAGGGGACAGGGGGGGGGTGAGACCCACTGCCGGGGGTACCGTACCCCCAAAGGGAGCTGGTACCTTGTGGTAGTAGAATGTATTTGTAGGTCTCTGGGTCTATTCTGCAAGCCAATAGGCCAATAGTGGAGGAACTGAGAATGGAAGTTTGTGGTGGCGAAAAATGCACAATGAACACCTGCAAGGTGCTCTGCTAGGTCCTTTTGTAACGGCTGCAGGTGCTAGGGGGGCCGTGCGCGCAAGCCTTCCCTGCCCGGCCATACCCCCAGAACAGCTGCAACTTCTGACCAGCCAGAACACTCAAAAGCATGCGGACCTTGAAGAGCTTTCAATCGCGCGGTCCGTGCTTGGCGTCAGCCCCGCAGACAAGGTTGAGTGGGCTTCAAAGCACAAGCGCCGCGCAAAAAGTTGGGGGTGCGGGGGCTAACGAGGTTCAGTAGAGGATATGCATTCTCAGGGCTGGGGGCGGATTTTGGATTTCAGTGGTCGCGGTTGGTTTCGGGTTCTGTGACCACATGTCGACTATATTCTGGTCAACCAAAACAATGGGTGGGAACTAGAACGAGATAGAACAGTAGACTCTCTTCTGGTCCACATTACTAATCAAGTTCTCTCAGTATCGCTTTCAATCATTAGTGTTGGGGGAAATTTTAATCCCTGGGAGGGGGGGTTGCTAACCGTGCAGGACTTTAGCCTCAAGTACCCTGAGATTGCCGTGCTTTGCCAAAGTCGAGCCCAGAGCTGGGACGTCGTTGCCAGCCTTCAGTGCGCCATTCCGGCGGGCCACCAACTGGAAAAGCAGCTTTGTCTCCGCCTGATTCCGAGCTCGTGTGATTTTGTAAGGATGTTGCAAAGATCAGAAAGCCTGTTGTCGTTCAATCCCAACAACCCGACGGGCCATTACTCTTTAGACTTATCCAACCCCATTGACTACACAATTTCTGAGCGGCTTGCCATTCTGGACAACTGGGAGAGCGTGTTGCGCTCATCCGAGAACAAGGCTGACATTTCGCAGCTAGGAAATTACTCCCACGCGCGGAACACGCAGTACTCCAACTGCCCTTTGCCTCGCAGCTTCACTGAGTCTTACCCGTTGACTTGGCAAGCGTTGCTGTGGTGCATAATTGATGCTGCTATCCAATCAGTGCACCCCGTGGTTGGTTTAAAGACTGCCCCCTTTTTCCTGCAAAACCCCATAGTCCCGTTTTGCCTACCAGCAAATCTATGGAGTAAAGATGTCCCGGTATGCCCTTCAAAGAAATTACAACAGCTATCGGAGCTGCTTTTGCCAGTACTTGCCAATGCTACTTCCTTTCACATTTTGAAGGGTGGCAATTCCACATCTCAGACACAGCACGTTTTTTAAATGTTACTACAGCTTGTGTCAAAATCGGGTTAGCAGGTTTGTGCGGCGCCAACTTCAAGGCCACTCCCTCCAAAGAAGACACACACGCACACCCCGATGCGAACCTTGAGAGTGGTCCAGAACGAGGGGGAACACCAACTGCTCCAGCCCAGAAAAGCTGATAGGACCAGTCATTTGTGAGGAGTGGATACCTGTCGAGTATGACATTCTTGAGTTGGACTACTGCAGCTCGAAACGGGGTCTTGGGATGGAAGCCATGACAGAGGCTGCCTTTGACGGCATCGTGACTGCTCTGCTGCAATTTGCACGACATTGGAAGTGCCGGCTCCAGGCTTTGCAGCAGCTCTCGGATCAGATCTACTTTTCCTGCGCGCAGTTGCGACAGATTGTCGACCTCTTTAAAGAGTCTGGCGCAAGACAAGACGTGTATGTAACCTTCTTCAACAGAATTGTCGACATGCAGAATGAGAAGCTTGTCCGCGCCAGACTTGACATGAATGAGGTGTCCACAATTCTGTATCGACTTGGGCACGCAGGGTGCTTTCCCTACATGCAGCCTGAGCAGATGCACATCCGCCTGCATTTCAAAAATCACGAGGAGCGGCTGTTGATGAGCTATCTTTTGAAGCTTTCGATTAAGGAAAGCTTGGCCAACATCAAGGATCCCCAGTTCACAAGCTCTGACGGAACGGTGGATGCGCTGACTCTGGGCGTTCCCAGGTCTTGGGAGCAAATGTCGAATATCCCCAAGCAAGGGGTCTTCGAGGCAGAGTATGTATGCAAGCCTGAAGATCGCAACCTGAAGATGAGCGCCCTGGCAAATCGATGTAATTCTTTGGTTTGGCGTGGCGAGACTTGCCGCTTTTTTGCCGTGGCCCCAGGTCCTACACACAGCCCCTTGTGATTTCGACAAGTGAAAGCGTGCCGGTTGCACGTTTGACATTTTGGACGGCTTTGCTTCTGGAGCTGGTCGTCGCTTTTGTTTTTTGTCCCAGGAAAGGACCTGGCGGAGCAGTTAGGTGCCTGGACCTGCACGGGGCTCGAGGAGGAGGAGATCACCTTTGTGAGCTTCTTGGGCCAGGCTGGCTGTTTAGCCAACGGGCCAAAGGATTTTGCCATTTGTCGAGAAAAAAAGAAGCAAGTTGAACAGAGATGACTCTGCGCTGTTAAAATGTTTTTCAGCATGTTAAGTTGAATCACGGGCCGCGCTGCCCTGTGTGTGGTGCCCCAATATGTGCTACTGAGACGCAGCTTACTTAAGGCAACGTGTTCATGTCTCACCAGCAGGAAGGTGAAGCATGAGGCGTTGGAATCGCCATGAATGTGGCACGCACGTTTGTACTGAAGTGCCGTTTGAAGCAGCTCTCCAGCTCAACAGCTATCGTGAAATGCTTGTGGCCCAAGGAGCAAGGCGGCAGTGCTTGAGATTGTTCATGATTGAACTGCGTGGTTTTAAGTTGCAACCCCAGACCGTACTCGGTGTGTCCGACCTCGACCTGAGACAAGGCATCTGAAAGCTGGGAAAGAGTTGACAAGCCGCGACTGTTATTCCCAGTAACAAACCGTTGGAGGGGATTTTTGCCCGTGCGGCGCTTGGTGACCAACTGGGCCGGGAGTGGCGTAGCGCTCTCAAGTTGAGAAGCAAGCCCCTGCAACCAGCGACCCGATACCCATTTTGCAAAGGAACCATTTGCGACCCCACCATGTCTCGCCTCTCCCCCAAACAAAACTTTGGGGGAGTTTTCTTAATTTTCGCCTCAACTTCCATCCCGCGCAGGTGCCTCCAGACGTGGTGTCCCTGGTGGCTTGGGCCAGTCGCAGCTTTGGTCCGGGGCTCTCCGGGACTTTCGACCAAATTGGCAAGGAGGTGCCTCTCGCACTCAACTGCGACGTGCCGAGCAGCGCCCAACAAAACAACGCAACACTAGAAATCAGAAGCTGAAGTCTCCCTCGGATGCGCTCGTTGGTTTGATGGAGATTCGTCAGAGACCTGTACGTGGGTCAGATGGCTCGCCCATCGTGTCTGCGTCTCGAGTTGGCGTAGCGCGGGGTGTCAACTTGGGATCCCTCCTTTCAGGTTGTGGCTGGATATGTGCCAGCCCTTGATAGAGGGCTGCGTGTCAACGGCGTGCGGTGTGATGTGAACAAGACACGCACGCGCACACACACATGCAGCACGTTAAACACGTTATAATACATTGCGCGCGATACATTCCGTCACGTTGCGACATGTTGCGTTGTGCTGCATAACATTTCAGCTCACACCGTCACATTCATGGCAAACCCATTCCATTACATGCCTACCTACCTACCATCCATCCACCCATCCATGCATCCATCCATCCATCCATCCACCCATCCACGCATCCGCGCATCCATCCCTCCACGCATGCGTCCCTCCATGCGTGCATGCGTCGGTGCATTCATGCATCCACGCATCCATGCATCCAGCGCACGCAAGCACGATTCTTGCTAATCTCTCAGTTCCAGCGTGAGAAGTGCAATGATTCATCGGCTTAGCTTGCTGGAATGAAAGCATGCTTTTTCCAGCAACGCACAGTCTGTTTTTGTCAATTGACTTTCCACTTTGGAGCAAGGCGGTTATGGGGTGTGCCTTGTCTTGCGGTTGTAACCAGGATGCCGCCCCTCCAAATGAGGCTTGTCAGAACCCCGCGCCCCCAGCACAGGCGTGTTAAAAAGTAGGCTGTGATATCATGACCGCTGTCTCAACCTCAAAGGTCCGGACTCGTAGGTGAACAGCAAGGAGTTCGAGGAGGCGTTGAAAGGCTTGGGCTTCAACAAATTCAAAGGCCCGAGGGAGCAGCAGCGCTTCCAGCAGGTCTTCCGGCACATGGACTCCAAGTTCGAGGGCAAGATCCTCTCAGTCTAACGGAGTTGGTTGGCTTGGTACGTGGCGGTTGTTGGTTCCGGTCGCTTGGTGTTGTGTTTCTTTCTAGATGACGGGTGGTGGGTTTTATTTTCTCGGCTGTTGGTTGCTGAGTTGTGGGTTGACGGGTTGCTTGGCGGTTCTTGCCTTGCGGTTATTTGTCTTGGAAATGTGGTTGTCTCTGTTCTTGTCTGTGGCTGGGTGAGTCGGCAGATTGTTGCGTTGGGTGGGTTGGTGGGTTGGTGGGTTGGTGGGTGGGCGAAATGGGCGGGGTTGGTTCGGCCGGGGCTTGAGAAATTTACGTACTACACATCCCAAACAAGAAGGAGCAGGTTTTTCTCAGGTCTTCTAGATTCTCAAGAAAAACTTCTGTGTTATCTTCAATCTTGGAACTTCCACCCAGCGATAAAATGCCTTCAAGTGCTCAGCGATCCGATGGAACCACTTCCAAGTTCTTACTTTAACCAGGCTCCCCATGTTTGGCACAAGTGGTACAAGAGTTTGAACAATTTGCCAGCCGCAAGTTAGGATCTCCCAGAAGGACTGGCGGAACTTGGAGGAGCTTGGGCAGGAGCTCGACGGCGAAGGAAGTTGTCCTGCAGTAAGAAACTGATACAAACTGCACCCCCTCTGATCTAATCTGTGCTTGGGTCAAGAAGGCAACCCGTAGGAGATCCAGCAGTCCATCCGAGAGACGCGGCAGTTCTGCGAGCGACTCTTTGCCAGCAGCGCCTGGGCGGTTCTGAGCGACGGCAAGGGCCGGATCTCGCAGGACCAGGTTCCACAACAACCAGGGCGGTTTGGTTTGCAACCGTGGACATATCTCTGCAACATCTTGGCTCAAGCCTTTGCCTAGTCCCAATAGCTACATTTAGCTTCGCAATCAAAAGAGAGCCGTAGATGCTTGCGCTTACCTCAAGGCATTATTAACCTGGAACGTCCTGAGCTTCCCCAACATCCATCACTTGATACTTTGGGTTCTTAGACAGACCCAGGGAGATGGCGAACCGCGACACTAGCGGGCTTGTCGCTGCAGGGTGAGTAGGCCTGCTCTGCAAAATACCAGGTTTTTGAGACAACACAAGATGTCATCAGTCATCAAGTGGAGAAGTCTTTCTTCATGGAGGCCTATACGAGCGCGGCAGATTGACCGAGGAGGCGATCAACCTCTCAATGTCCACCATCGTCCGACGGACGTGTCAGCTTCAGACGCAAGGAGCTCATAGATGAGTGGGCATCGCTCGGGTCAGGAAGCAGGGAGCTACGAACGTGTACCTATATCGACCCCTCAGATTTCTCAACCTCAGGAGAGGCAACAACGAGTTCCTCGCGTCCAATTCCAAGATTTTTCTTCGGAGACTCAAGTCACCACAGAACGACTTGAGGCCGACAAGCGCAGCACAGTCGCCATAGTATCTTCAAGCAGCGCAGAAAGCAAATTGCAAGACAAGCTGCGCATGAGCGTGGCAAGGGTTAAGGGCAAGGGGGGGGGACAGGTAGTCAGCGTGTCAACTGTCAATGTCACTCAAGTTCGTTGTCAAAGTAATTTGAGTTGGCGCACGATGTAGCACTAGTGACATCAGACTCATTGACAAACATGACACTTGACAGTGACAGCTGGCATGTAATTTGATTTTGTTGTCACAAATGTCTGATGATGACTGTTAAGTAGTTGTCACTTGTCACATTGACTAGCCTTTGATTTTGATTTGAGGGGGGCCTGAGGCCTGAGCAGTGTGCCTACACACTGACTTGCCGTTTTGCATTAGATCATTAGGCGCCGCTCCTGTTTGACAGCTGGCTGCAACACAATTTCTGTCTGATGTAGTTGCAGCCTGAGCCGGGAAAAGCCACTAACCTGACTGACTTGTCTGGGCGTGTGCGTGATGTCAGGTAAGCGTTGCCACGCGCAGACTCCAGCTTGTGTGTTGTGTCAAGCAGCTCAAGTCAAATAGTAGGTGAGTCAATGTCAGTGTCGAGGCCAAAGCCCAGCCATGGATCCGTCATCGCCGCCACTTGTCTTCCCGAAGACTTGCAAGGGCGTGCTATGCCCAGTTGGGCAGCTTTTCTGGGACTTGATGTACATCTTCGACATGTTTCGCCAATGTGGTGATGGGCGCACACATCACAGATTCATGCAGTAATTTGGCGAGGCAAAAGACACATGGCGACTTGCTGACAATCATCTGCATCTCCGAGCTCCTGTCTCTGAAAGGCCAGGAGTGTTCAAAGCAGGTAGTCCTTTGTGTGCACGGGTGTTTTGATAATAGTGACAGGGAAATTAAGACTACTGATTCGACAGCTTGAGTGGGACATGACGCTTAAAAAGTTTAATTGGAAGATTCGACTGAATCAAGTCAATCAGTCATGGCATCTGAGTCTGTGTGTGCATGTCCCCTTCGGTCTCGGGGGTTCTTATTTCAAAGCAAACACAAATTCTAGAACTCAATCAAAATTCAGGAACCCTGACATGTACTCTTTGACATGCCCCACTCTTTGACATTTGAATGACTAAAATAAAGCACAGATGTCTTTGTCCCTGAAGAAGAAGCCTCAAATCACTCTGAGAAGAGCAGCCAGCGCAGCGTCGCTACCTGATTGGATGTCAAAGACTAGAGAGTGGGGCATGGGTGTGTGTTTCTAATAACACAGCATTCTTCAACTTTGTTTCTGGAATTTGCAAATGCTGTGTGATTGATTGGTCGGTTGATAAATTGTTTCATTGTGTGAGTTGCTGAATCACTGAATAATTAAATGCCTGATTGAACTGATTGCGTGATTGGAATGGCTGCTTGGTTGGTTGACTGGATTGATCATTGATTGATTGAGTGAATGAGTGAGTGACTGACTGATTGATTGGTTGATTGATTGGTTGATTGATTGATCGATCGATTGATTGATTGATTGATTGATTGATTGCTTGCTTGATTGATTGATTGATTATTCGATTTGATATGATTTGATTTGATTTTACTGATTGGTTGATTGATTGGTTCATTGGTTGATTGATTGGTTATTCGATTTGATATGATTTGATTTGATTTTACTGATTGGTTGGTTGATTGGTTCATTGATTGATTGATTGGTTGATTGGCTGATTGATTGACTGACTTGTTGACTGATGGATTGATTGATCGTTTGATTGATTGACTGATTGATTGATTGACTGATTGGGGTGACTGATTGGTTAATTGACTGATTCATTGGTTGATTGATTGATTGATTGATTGATTGACTGATTACTGGTTGAGTGATGATTGATGTTTTTTATTGGCTGATCGACTGTGATTCATTGATTGAATGACTGGTTGATTGAGTGAGTGAGTGAGTGAGTGAGTGAGTGATTGACTGATTGGCTGATTTCATTGATTGACTGATTGACTGGTTGATTGGTTGATTGATTGATTGATTGTTTGATTGATTGGTTCATTGATTGACTGGCTGATTGATTGATTGATTGATTGATTGATTGATTGATTGATTGATTGGTTGATTGGTTGATTGATTTATTGATTGATTTAACTGAGAAATTAGTTGAGTGAGGTAGTGATGGCTTATTGGCTGGTTGACCGGTTCATTGATTGAATGGTTGCTTGTTTGATTGATTGATTGTTTGGTTGATTGCTTGATTGATTGGTTAGTTGATCGATCGGGTTATTGGTTGATTTATTTGGTTGATTGATTGATTGATTGATTGATTGATTAATTGGTTGGATTTGATTGGATTTGATTGATTGGTTGATTCGTTTTGATTGATTCATTGGTTGATTGATCGATTGATTGTTTGGTTGATTGGTTTGGTTTGATTGAGCTGGTTTGACTTGATTTGTGTTGTTTTGATTTGATTTGATTGATTAATTCGTTGACTGATCGATTGATTGGTTGATTTTTTTGAGTGATTGAACGAACGATTGATTGATTGATTGTTTGGTTGATTGGCTCGTGTTGGTTGGTTGATTGATTGATTACCGAATGATTGACAGTGATTGTGAGTTTTTGGTGTGCGATTGGCTGATTGATTGATTGGTCGGTTGATTGTGTGATTTGTTGATTACTGACTGAATGATATATTGATTCATTGGCTGATTGACTAAGTGGTTGAGTGAATGATTGGTTGATTGATTGGTTGGTTGGCTGACTGATTGGTTGGCTGACTTCTTGACTCATTGAGTGACGCACTGTTTGATTGATTGAGTCTGATTTGCTGGTTAGGTGATTGGCTGGTTGATTGGTGATTGACTAATTGATGGAGTGATTGAGTGATTGGCTTATTGGTTGTTTGGGTGATTGGTTGATTGGTTGGGGGGTCCAAGCTCGTCAGGGTAAGCAGCTGGGTTTGCAGCAGGAGCTGGTGGCTCAGTGCTTGCAGCAGCTTGTATGACGACAGCCTTGCCTCTTCCCGCTTGGCAGCTCGGACCTCAGCTTCCTGGCAGAGGGGAATGTCGTCTGCGGCTAAGACCTTGCTGAGGCGCACACTTTGGGTCATTGCACAGCCTGCGACAATTGACATTGGACTGAAAAACAGTGAGGTCCTTAGTCTGTTTTTCACCCTCCCCAAATCTTACCATGACAGCAGACACAAAGCACGCGACGTCCAGAAGAGAGTCCAAGTAAGGCAGCCAGACAGTGAAACAGGGACCCAGCACCAAGTGTGGAGAAGCAATGCGAGATGCCAGCTAAACGCAGCAAGGTGAAGGCAAGCGCTAGACGAACGTCTTTGCCAAGCAAACTCGAAGAAGTGACGCAATCATCCCCCCCCCGCCCCCCCCGCCCCCCCCGCCCTCCAAAAAGCAATCAATCACAAAAAGCACAAAACATGGAGTTCAAGCACAAAAAGCTCAAAAAACGGAGTTCGTCCCACGGGGCTGTGGGCGGTGGTCCAACTATCATTCATTTGCCTTCCGTACCAAGATCTATCAGTATAACACGATATGATATGTGTATAAATATAGTACTGAATATATAGTACACACATATATTATATGTTCCAGACCTGCTTCAGACCTTGCTCAGGCCACAATTCTGCCGCAAGCCAGTGTGGGGCATGAAGCGAATTTCAGGCCCAGATCAAAAATCCAAAGCAGATGTCCAGTCCGGGTCTGGCTGTGTGAGATGGGACGGTGTGCCCCCCGAATCTGATTTCAATTCTGTCAGGGGCTCCAAACGGCATGGCGCGTCCGGAGAAAGTCCGGAAACAACTTGGAGTGCGCCAGCTCGGGGTGCCGCCTCAACTTCCCGGAGCTGTCGTGGTGAATCAGCAGAGGCAAAAACTAGCAGCCCGTGTTGGTGCTTGCGCCACTGCTCTGGGGTACTTTGGTCTGGCCGTTGTCTGAGATTTGCGATGATGATCTCAAGATCAAGTACCACTTGCAAGTCGGGCTTGAGCCAGGTGTCTGCTGGCAGCACATCTTCATGACAGCTAAGAACCACTTGCCAAATTTGCTTTGTGGTCGGCTTCCCGCTTGACCTTTGCCGACTTGGTGACCCTCAAAGGCCGACAAGCTGTCACGTTGCGAGCTGCTGTCTGCACTGGCGCTGCACTTTTCTGATGAGTCACCGCCGTATGTCAAGCAAGTCCTTTCCAGTGTGTCTGTCGACCAAGCCCGACTTTGACAGCAACAAGGATGCTGGCAAGATTAAGCTCATTCTCGCAAATATGGAGTCGGACGAGAAGTCAAGTTTTCAGGAGATCGAGAAGAAGAGCAAGAATCTGCTGCAGGAGAAGGCCCAGTCAAAGCGGAGGGCGATCTTTGAGAAGAAAATGCAGCTTCAAAGGCCATCTGGGTGGCTTGAGTCCTTTTTGTCTTGTCTGTTTAATCTCACTTCGAACATTGTAATGTAATGTGTGAAGTTCAAGATTGGCAGGCTCGCAAAGCAAAGCGGGAGGCAAATGCAAAGGCCAAAGCTATGGGCAAGGCCAGAGCTATGGGCAAGGCCAAGGCTAAGGCCAAGCCAGGAGGAGGAGTCAGTTGTCCCAGTGCCAGAGTCAGCACCAGCTCCCCCAATGTCAACTGTTGCTATCAGTATGGAGGACGCTGACACTGAGACCCAGCAAGCTGAGTCACTGACTGAGAGCCAGCCGCCCAAGCCCAATGAAGCTCATGAGCCAATTCTTGAAAATCTACAACTTCATCAGCAAGCTGAGCAAATTGTCACTGTCGCAGCTGATGAGCCCATGCCGCAGCAGCCTGATGATTCTGATGGCTGCTTGGCTGTTTGGTAGGTCTGTTGCAAATTACTGTATTAGTAAATCTCAGTCAGTGTGGTGTTGCTGATATTTTACAATGTTGCACATTCGCCTGCCAGGCCCAGCTTCATTGTCATTGTTTGCCGCAGCAGTTGTTGAAGTTGGAGCAGAGGCAGCGTCGTGATCGTCCGCAGCTGCTGCTGGAGATGCAGCGTCATCATCTGTCGGAGCAGCTGCTGTTGGAGCGGAGTCGTCGGCGCTGGCGGAGGGGGTCGGGCATCAGGGCCAAAGGTGTACTCCTAGCTAGCATGTTTCTCGGACCATCGCTTCTTTGTGTCGACGAAGCGCCTCTCTCAAAGGCTCATCCCCCCTTATGGGGGGAAGACCTTCTCAAAGTCATTTGTCAACTATCCTTGGCAGGATGCGCTGCGTGATGGGCATCGCCACTGCTGGGAGAAGTTTAACTTGACTGAGTGGCCGCTTGAACGCTCGTCGTCAGAACCCAGAAAAAGTACCTGAAGACGCTTAGAGGACGTGGTCAAGAAGATGCCGAAGCCAAAAGTATACCACAAATCACTGTAGTCATTGTCACTTGTGTTTGGTGCGTTGCTGGGTGGCTGCTAGGCCACAATCGATCCGCAGTCCTGGAAAACGGTGCGTTCTGCCGTGCATGCTCATTTGCTGCGCGTTGCGCAGGATAATAGGGAGCGCCCTCAGATACTTGTACTGCCTGCCTGTGTTTGTGTGTGTGTGTGCGCAAGGTCTAAGGTCACCAGGCTCATAGTTTTGATGCGGTCATTGTCATGACAGAAGTAGGTCATTGTCATGAAGATCAATACCACTGACCTATAGTAGCACAGCCGCATTGCCATCATCAGTAATGCTGAGTAGGTAAATTTCTTTTAGTTGCGTCACTGTCCATAACTTGCTCGCAGCCATGGTCACACGTCCTGTTGTTGAGCGGCCTGATGGTTATTGACAACAGGTTGACCCACAGCTGCAGAAAGTGGAAAGCGATTTCCATCAGGCATCGCATTACAGGCTGTATGGCTTCATGCCAGTGTCAGCTTTCAACAGGCAAGGTAGTATTGTGCTTTTTGTTTCGCTTGTGGTATTTTGTATGCCTCCTGGTGGTCTGACAGTTGACTGTACCAAAAAAGAAACACTTAGTTGACTTAAAAATTGATGCATTTTGGACTAAAGACAACTGACCTAGAAACGTATGATCATTAAATCAAATCAGTAACTAATGAAGAGAATGAAATTGACAACGGACTGTGACTTTGACCCTGTGCCAGGCTGATTTCCTGCACGAAGCGGGTGTTGCTTCACAGGCTGGTCCAAGACCTTTTTGCATTTGACGCAGCGCATGATGGACAGTCTGCTTGCTGGGGAAGTCTGTTGGACATGTGCTATCCGTGCTTGGCGAACCTCTCCTTGACGGACAAGCTCATGGCAATCATCAACAGGACTCTTTACAATCGGGACTCGGGCCAATGTCATTTCTCATGGGTGGAATACTGTGCTGGAGCTGGTCTTTCACGCGCACTTCTGAAGAATCACCAGGTGTCCGGCTTTTTGTGGATGCATTGTCTGCGACTCATTCTGGTGCACTTGTTTGGCTTGGAACACCGTGCTCAAGCTTCGTATCCTTATGTGTCTCTGTCAGCCAGAGGCGAGCGGAAAACCTCTACTATGGCGACATGTCAAGGTCATGTATCCACGATGCTAGGGAATGTCACTTGTCTCGAGCAGCCTCTCAGCAGTGTCCTTCCCTTGTTGCCCACACTGCGGAATGTTCTGTCATATGTGCAAAGCCAAAAGGTCGTGACACTCATGGTGGCTTCAGCAACCTCATCCGACCACGGCCATTCACAGCTGGCAGTGCTTGTCTCACATGGGGATGGCGGCAGCTACACTGGCATTCCGTCAGTACCCCTGAGTTGGGTGATGCAGTCGCTGCCTGCTTTGTCAGCTGTCAACTGTCGCAAACAGTCGACAGCTGCATAATTCAGCTTAATGTAGTCGTAGTTAGTAGTGTGATGGGGTGAAAAGCGCGCTTGCCTTGTGACATTTGACTCAACTGCTCTCTCTGTCACTGCTGCCTTTCTGAGGTCAGCTGATGGCGCCATCCGGAATCTGCTGGCTGTGCTGTGGTGTGCTCTGTGTTTGATGGCTGTTGATTTTTTGTGTGCCGCGTCATAACGAAATTTTTGGCGGACACTACTGTAGATTAAAGTGTTCGGCAACCATCGGAAATTGTCATATATGTTTGCAAGAAGTCAAAGAAAACACTTCAGTTGGTCAACGCTGAACAATCTTGTTTGTATTACTGGAGCTCCTTGTTGAGGTAAGGCCACCGAGCCAAACCGCACCAAACCGAGGGGATGCGTGCCCTCAAATGTTCTCAGCGTGGCCCATGGATTTTGCTGAAATTCACCCTCCTGATCCAGACCCCCGCTGATCCAGACCTCATTTCTAGCGTAATGATATTGTGCATGCTAAACTTGTGCTACAAAGTTGCGATGTTCCAGCGCGTGCTAATTAGACTTGCGCTACAAAGTTGTGATTTTGTTCTTCGCCTGCTTGCTTTACGCTTTAAAGTTGCGATTTCCCAGCTCGCGACGCTTCTGAGCTTCTGACCGACCGTTCAACGGATATTTCTGAACCTTCTTCAACACAACATCCGCGAGCGACTTTTGTCACTGGCACTTTTGAGAGACGCTTCTGAGCAGGAGCTTGGGCGCCACTTACAACACGAATTACGCTCCTAGGCGACACCTCTGATTGCCACATCTGAGCGATAAATTTACGGCGATCTGAGCGATACTTCTACACACACAGACACAGGCGACAGTTCTGGCAACACTTGCACAGACACACGCACACACATGTAAGCGAGGCTGCTGAGCGACAATCCGAGCGACATTTCTACACACACATCTGAGAGACACTTTTGAGAGACTCCTGAGCGACACTTCTGAGCGACATCTCTGAGGCGCTCCCGAGCAACAGTTCTCAGCCACATTTCAACACACACACATCAGCGACACTTCTGTGCGGCACTCCTGAGCAACGATTCCAGCGACATTTGTACATAGCGACACCTCTGAGCGACACTTCTGAGCAATGAGCGATATCCGTGAGCGACACTTTTGCACGTCTGAGCGGCGCTTCTGATCGACACTTCTGAGCGACACTTCTGATCGAAACTTCTAAGCGACACTTGAGCGACACTTCTGAGCAAACACACCCACACACACATGTGTAACCGACGCTTTTGAGCGACAATCCTGAGCGACACTTCTGATCGACACCTCTGAACACTTCTGGGCACTCCCGAGCGACACTTCTGAGCGACACCTCTGAACAGCACTTCTGAGCAACACTGAGCGGCGCTCCTGAGCGACACTTCTGAAAACACCTCTGGGCGACACTTCTGAGCCACATTTCATCAGCGACACTTCTGTCCTGAGCGACGATTCGAGCGACATTTCTACACACACACAAATCTCAGATGTCTGAGGCCCTTTGGAGCGACGCCTCTGAGCAATAGGAAATACTCTGATAGACACCCCAGTGCTTCTTTACGCTCTGGCTTCAGCACTGATTCGCGAATCAGCGCTGGTTTGACAAGGAAAAGTTTGAAAAGTATGGTTTTTGTGTCGGATCAGCGCTGATCCACTCGAGCAAGTGAAACCTTCGAGTGAGCGCTGGTTTCAGCATGGATTCGTCGAATCCACGCCAAGATGGCAAAGATCCAAGTTGACACTGATTCGACGAATCCTCGTCACGTGACAGGGGTTGACACTGATTCGGCGGGCCAATCTGCAATCAATAGAAAGGAGCTTATAAGCTTCGGGAAGGGATATGCACCAGGCTTCAACGGGACAAGCTGCAAGCAAACAAATAAGAGCTTAAGCTTCCTGGACTATATTTAAGCTTCCTGGTCAACAGAACGACCCTGCAAAGAACTCAATCACAATCAAGATTTGCAAGCAAAGAATTCGGTGGGTCAAACTGAAAACAAAGCCAGGATCTTGCTCTAGCTTTACTTGGGCTTGCGCAAGGACGGGAAGCGTTCGAATGAACAGCGCAACAAACCAGATAATTCGAGTAACACTCTTGAGGAAGGAGCTCAGAGCATCCTGCAACCCTCGTTGGAAGGCGGCTGTTATTAACACTGACTATGCACAGCAGCCTGCAGTGCAAGCGCGCCTTTTTTCTCAACGCAGAGCAAACTTCAGTCTTGCATGGCTCGGTAGCGCTGCAAAAATCTGAATGCTTTTGTGGAACTTACGGAGCAGCCTCCTCTTCTTTGTTGGCTTTTGCCATGAAGCCGCACAAGGACTCGTCTCTGTAAGTCCAGTACAAGCGCGGGAGCCGTAGTCATGTGACTGATATTCCACAAGTTCCTGCTGCAGCTTAGGCTTAAACTGCCAAAGGTTGTCGCCGTTGCCAGAGGCCCTTACACCCTCGCACATGAGGCAGAACCGACGACAGTGTGCAGCTGCAATCTCGGAATTACACTTGCCTTTCGATCCGGACACCCACAGCTGCAAAGTCCAAAGCTCATTGGACAGCTCAGCTATGGCTGACATTTCTGCGCTAGATGGGTCTGCTTGGTGCCAGCTTTTGGAAAGGTCGACAGCGAATTTGATGACGTGTCTGCACTCTGCACCCTTGGCTCGAAGCTTGCTTTTTGTTCGTGCTTGAGAGCTTTATCATCTCTTCCGTCAGATTGTCTAGTCTCGAGGCGAGCTTCGACTCAGAATACCAGTCTTTCAGCAAGTTATTATTTTTCCTGACAAGCTCATCACGTCCGCACCAACGCCTAAATCCACTATGTGCAGCCAGCTAAAACCACATAGCTCAGGTGAAAGCCTGGCAGCTGAAGAAGCGGACTTACCTGAATCTGCTGACCCCGAAGAGACTGCAGAAAGTCGAAGTCTGACAGTCTCTCTTGGCGCCAGGGCGCAGCCAAACTTGTGGACGTGTAAGCGCACGGGCCCTCAAGGGCTGCTGCGCATTTCCAGCAAATGCAACTCCCAGAGATAGCGCGCGGAAAGACCAAGCAATGGCTTTCATCACAGCATGCCAAGTGTGCGGCCCGACATATTTCTTCGAAATAGCAGTTATTGGAATGTGGTCGCCGCTTGGGTGAGGCAAAAAATTCCAGGATATAATCTCAATGGTCTTTTTTTGCGTCAGGAACTCCATCTCCATGAAGGCCAAGAGCCAAAGTATTTGATTCATGCTGGCACTCCTTTGGCGAAAGCAATCGAATTTGGCTGTGCCCAGGATCTGTCAACTGAAAGACATTGAGTCCTTCCTTTTGCACAATTGAGTGGAGAAGCTCGTGAGGCAGAAGAAATGGATGTTCTACAGGCTCTTCCTTCTTCGCGTCTGGGTTCCAGACTGGCAAAGGCCAGGAAAAAACATCTGGCATCTTACAGCCTGCCAGAAAGCGTCGCGTCAGATCTCTCGCATAGTTCTGCGGCGCTCAACTACGCGCGCCCACATTTGCCAAGTCTGCAGCGCTGCTGATGACTTCTTGATGGCACGTGCTGGCTACCTCAAAAGTGTCTTTGGCTGACAGTTTGTTGGCAAGAAAGATTTTTTTGTAAGTTTACATCAAAACGGCTGCG